TCTTGTATTGGTGAGCCGAGAAACATAAAGCGTCTCCGCTCCGGAGACTTGCTTATTGATACAAACTCAGCCACCCAGTCTGCTTCTTTACTTCAGATTACTAAACTTGGGCAAGCGAATGTCACTGTAACAGCACATAAGACACTGAATTATTGTCGTGGCGTAATATCGGAATTCGACCTTCTGTACGTTCCTGAAGAAGAGATCGCTTCCGAGCTATCCGACCAAAAGTCTGCGGTGCTAGGCGGATCAAGATGCGTAAGGAAGGTAAGTTGATCGATACGAAACACGTGATCCTTACCTTCAACACGCCTGATCTGCCTAAGATATTAAGGCCGGATATTTAAATTGTCCTGTAAGACCTTATATTCCCAATCCTATTGCGATGCTTCCAATGCCAGCGTTTCGGCCATTCTAAGACGTCTTGTCGTGGCAGCCTCACATGCGCCCGATGCTCACAGATTGGCCACGATTCGGAAAATTGTACCGCTGCGCCTTCGTGTATAAATTGCAAGGGTCAGCACCCAGCCATTTTCACGCCTCTGCCCAAAATGGAAATCCGAAAAGAAGTACAGACTCTTAAAGTTACCAGGAACATCTCGTATGCTGAAGCCCAGAAAACTAGTTCAAAGCACACAGCTCCAATCAAAAACAAATCTTATGCCAGTGCAGTTAAAACAACACGTAGCATTGCCACCCAAACATCAATAGGCACGCAGACTAAACCAAATAAAACCCAACCAACCACATCCAACCAAAGAAAACGGAAAATGCAACTCATTTAATACAAAAAAAGAAACAGTCATTCAAAGTAAACCTAAAATTGAAAGTCCAAAATAATTAATAAAAATAGAAGTCCCAGCAATAGCTCTTTTGACGAAATGATTTCTGAATCTGCGGATTCAGACACTATGGAAGTAGAGGAGGGTCTAGAATTTCCCAGGCATCTACTTCCACGAAAAACCAAACAAGAGCACAGAAAGAACAAAAAACCAGACTAATGGCCACCCTCGTCTCATGGAACTGTCGCGGTTTCCACCGAAATTCCACCGACATCAAAGCCATAATTAATGCTTATCATCCTGTATGCTTCGCAGTACAGGAAACAAATCTAAAACCAGAACAACAGGCAAAACTTAGGAGGTTTTCCTTCGTCAGGAAAGATAACCTTGCAGGTGAGCGTGCCAGTGGAGGTGTAGGTCTCCTCACCTCACTGGATTATCCCTCAAATGTGCTTTCTTTGACGACATCCCTCCAAGTTGTCGCTACTCAAACAAATTTTGATTTTGTTGTTACAGTCGTTTCTCTGTATTTGCCTCCAAATGAGCATATTGATCAGCAAGATTTAAATGGTCTTTTAGAGCAGCTGCCTGAGCCTTTCATCATAATAGGAGATTTTAACGGCCATAGTCCGCTCTGGGGTAGTAAGGATACTAATTGCCGAGGAAGACAAATTGAGCAGATGATCGAAGATCATAGCCTTTGTCTCCTCAATAATGGGCAAGATACTTACTTCCATGAGCCTTCAAAAACGTTCCATGCTCTCGACCTTGCCATCTGTTCACCATCTCTGTTGCTTTTTTGCACTTTTAATGTGGGTAAAGATCTTTACAACAGTGATCATTATCCCATTCTTGTGTCTCTTGCACGAAGAGGAGCAAACCCATGTCGAGATCCCTCGATTCATACTGGACAGGGCAGACTGGGAACTCTTCTCTTCCATTGCAGAGCTCACAGATGAAATGGTAGAAGATGCGCATATCGATGACGCTGTTGAAGCTGTTACTAATACTATTATTCAGGCAGCTATGCTCTCCATTCCTAGAACATCAGGAAAACTACTAAAAATATTCAAAACCATGGTGGAATCGCGACTGTCATGAAGCACTGAAAAACAGAAAAAAGCATGGGGTATTTTTCGTAGATATCCTACTCTGCGAAACCTCATAGCCTTTAAAAGAGCCAAAGCAAATGCACGAAAAGTAAGAAGGCAGAGCCAGAGGGATTCCTGGATTTCATATGTGTCGTCAATAACATCCTCCACGCCTAGCAAGCGGGTTTGGGAAAGAGTTCGAAAAGCATGCGGCATATATAAAGACCACTCACTTTCCTTTTTGGAAAAAGATGGCCGAGTGATTAGCTCCATAGAAGAAATTGCGAATACTATCGGTGAGACATTTGCTTCCGTTTCTTCCAGCAGAAACTATACACCTGCATTTCTTTCTATGAAGCAGCACTCTGAAATAAATCGCATCGCGTTCAACTCTTCCAAATCTGAGCCTTACAATAGAGCCTTTACTATGCTTGAATTAAGGAGTGCTTTATTGCAGACACATAGGTCTTCTCCGGGTCTTGATGGAGTGAATTATGAAATGCTAAAGCATCTGTCCTGTAAGTCACTGAATGCCCTTCTCACTCTTTACAATAGGGTGTGGAAGGAGCATGCCTTTCCCAGTGCATGGAGGAGAGCTATCGTCATTCCTATTCCTAAGCCAGGGAAAGATCCAAGGAATCCCTCCAACTATCGGCCAATTGCCCTTACGAGTTGCCTCTGCAAACTGTTTGAAAAGATGGTAAACAGCCGCCTAGTCTACTTCTTGGAAAAGAATGATGTTATATCGCCTTATCAGAGTGGTTTTCGAAAGGGAAGAACAACTGTAGATAACATGCTCCTCTTAGAGACATCTATTCGAAAAGCATTTGTAAGAAGAAGCCACCTTGTCTCGATATTCTTCGACATTGAAAAAGCTTATGATAAGGCATGGAGATACGGTATACTCCGGGATCTTCACGAGAGTGGCTTGCGCGGCAACCTACCAATTTTCATTCAAAATTTCTTGAACACTAGAACTTTTCAAGTAAGAATTGGCTCTGTTTTTTCGGATGTTTTTGAACAGGAAGAGGGTGTGCCTCAAGGCTGTGTGCTCAGTGTAACCCTGTTTAGGTTAAAAATAAATTCTGTACTAAAAGAACTTCCTCCCACCATCTTGGGATCTCTATATGTTGATGATCTGCAGATTAGCTGTCGAGGAGCAGACATGAGATATGTAGAGAGGCAACTGCAGATGGCTCTGATTAAGATCCAAGAATGGTCAGACAAACAGGGATTTACATTTTCGAAACAGAAAACTGTCTGCGTGCACTTTTGTAGGAAGCGAGGTCTCCATCCTGAACCTGAGTTATACTTGAATGGTACAATTATTCCAGTTGCGCCTGAAGTAAAATTTTTAGGAGTGATGTTCGACCGAAATTGACTTTCCTTTCTCATGTTTTAAACCTGAGAAAGAAGTGTCTAAAAACACTAAATATTTTAAAAGTGTTGGCGAACACCTCCTGGGGTGCAGAGCGTTGCTCCATGCTTCGCATTTACAGAGCGCTTATCCGCTCTAAACTGGACTATGGCTCAGTTGTTTATGGATCCGCTCGGTCATCTGTTTGTTAAAACTGGATCCTGTTCACCATCAAGGTCTGCGGATTTGTTCAGGAGCTTTTCAGGACTTCTCCTGTGCAGAGCCTATATGTTGACTGTAACGAACCATCACTTTATCTGAGGCGTGAGCAATTGTCCCTTTTGCAATATTTTAATACTCTATCTCAACCTGAACATCCCAATAAGCTGTGCTTACTTGATAATGAGTGTAACACATTATTTGAAACACGTCCATCCTGTGTTCCTAATTTCCCTTTAAGAGTTCGCCCTGTCATTGAGGAACTCTCCCTCTCTGATATGCACCCCCAAGCAGTACAGAATTTTGAAATTCCACCTTGGGAAAATTCACGGATCCAGCTTCTTGATGTTTTTAAACATCACGTAAAGGCGAGCACTAACGAGATCGTTTACAGACAAATTTTCGCTGAGCACAGGCACAAATATAGCAGTTATTATCCGATATACACAGATGGATCAAAGTCAAATGATCATGTGGGGATGGCTTTTGTATTTGAAAATTACATAGAGGGCAGATGCCTGCACCATGCTTTCTCTGTCCTAACATCTGAACTAACTGCAATATATTATGCTCTTTTGTACATCTCAAAGCTCTGCCACAAAAAGTTCATAGTTTACACAGACTCGTATAGTGCTCTTAAAATCCTTGGAAGCTTTTCCCAACGCTCAGAATCCTGTGGTAGTGGATGTTCTCAAAATTCATAGAAATTTAATGATACGAGGATATGAAATCCTGTACTGCTGGGTTCCCGGGCATACGGGAATAAAGGGAAACGAGCTTGCAGACATCGCGGCAAAATCTGCTGTCGAACTGTCCAGTCGCCTTATCCCTTTTAGAGACATCTGCTGTGTCATCAAGGGAAAGATACGAAAAAAATGGCAGCAAATTTGGGATGTTCAGCATCACAACAAGTTGAGAAACATCAAACCTAGAATTGAGCATTGGGATTTTGCTGGAAATCGTAAAGAGGACGTTCTTTTGACTCGACTCAGAATTGGTCATACCAGAGTTACACATAGCTATCTTCTTAAAGCTAAAAATGAGCCTGTTTGTTTTAATTGTAATGTTTGTTTATCTGTTCGTCATATTTTAATTGAGTGTCCATGTTTTAATAGTCTTCGCCAGAAATATTTTAATAGCTGTGACTTACCTCTCGACCGTTTAATCGGAAGAGAGGTCAATTCTAATTTATTTTATTATTTAAAAGAGATTGGGTTTTATTACCAAATGTAATTTGTTTTGAAGACTGTGTCTTGAATGTTAATATGTGTTTTAACTTGTTTTTATGACTTCATCCTGTGGATTTGGTACATTTATCTACTTGTTTTTATTCATGAATTTTAATGACTTCAATTGTAATCATCCCTCTGTTTGGCGCGTCATAATCAGGTTTTGCGCCATAATCACTCACTCACTCACTCACTCAATTCAGGTACATTCGTTCCTTTTGAGAGGGGTAAGTTAATTCTTGTGCTTCATTTCCGAAGGCGACAAATCCTATAAATATGACAACAGAAGAGGAAAAGTTTTATTTGTAAAAAAGACATCAAGATGCTCGTACCATACGAATGTTGTACTCAAAATTATGAAAATCATTATCAAACCGGCTCGGGGCTTCCTTATTACCAAGGTCAACCCTATCAAAAGGGCTATGGTCTCGGTGGATTTTTTCACAGTCTATTTCACTCTGCTATGCCTTTGTTTGTGAAAGGAGCCAAAACGGTGGGAAAAGAAGCTTTGCGCACCGGAGCTCTCATTGCAAATGATGTGTTGGCAGGTGAAAACATTAAGTCTGCTGCTAAACAAAGAGCCAAAGAGGCGGGAAAAGTATTAGCGGCAAAAGCTATTCGTAAAGCCCAGACCATGGTTGGTAGTGGTAAGTATAAAAAGAAAGCGAAAACTGTCCCCCGAAAGCTGTGAAGCAGAGAAGCTCTCCGAAAGCTGTGAAGCAGAGAAGACGTGATATTTTCGATTCATAATGACTTTTATCATGAAAGATTCCCCCTGAATGTGTTAAATCCGAATTAGAACGTTTTCATTTACCTGGAACTCATACGGCGATTCAAAGCGGTCAATGGGTTCAGTTTCATCCTCTATCTAATGTATTTGACGGAGGTCCCGTAGAATTCGATATTTCAGGCAGTGGAGAAGATTATATTGAACTTGTCACAAACACAACTCTACGTGAGAGCAAAAATAATAAAAACGGATGGTTCACCTCTGGATAAAGATGCTAGCATCGGCCCAGTAAATTTGTTCCTGCATTCTTTATTTTCTCAGGTGGATGTCACATTAAACGAACGACTGGTGTCTTCTTCTAGTAACACATACCCCTATAGAGCTTATATTGAAACTTTGCTCAATCACGGCTATGATAGTAAAACTTCAAAACTGACAGCTGAAATGTATGACAAAGATCTAGAGAAGCGATCTTCCTTTTTCAAACTGAGTTCTACTGTTGATATGATTGGTGGCATTCATTTTGATTTATTTCATCAAGAAAGGCTTTTATTAAATATGGTGGATGTTAAATTAACTCTTATCAGAAGCAAGCCGGAGTTTTGTTTGCAAGGAAAAGCAGGTCATAAAGTGGTTTTAGAACATGTATCTCTTTTCGTGAGAAAAGTGCGTGTGAGCCCTGGAGTTATCCTAGGTCATGCCAAAGCATTAGAGAAGAGTAATGCCAAGTATCCTATTAATAGAGTATTATGTAAAGTCTATTCCATTCCCCAAAATAGCATGTCCTTGATACAAGACAATGTTTTTGTTGGTCAGATGCCTCAAAGAATTGTAATTGGATGTGTTGATAATGACGCTTTTCACGGAAATTTTGCCAAGTCACCATTTGAGTTTAAACATTATTACCTGAATTTCATTGGAGTGTACGTCGACGGACAGCCTGTGCCTTACAATCCACTGGAACCAAATTTTGATAACAACAATTATATTCGAGCTTATCATAGCCTGTTTTTCAATAAATCCCAGCAAGATAAAGGCATTTTTATCTCGAGAGAAGACTATTTACAAGGTAACGTGTTATTTGGTTTCGAATTATCACCAGACCTTTGTGATGGAGAGCATATGAATCTCATTAAGCATTCTAATCTACGGATTGAGTTAAAGTTCAGCCAACCTCTCGAGCAAACCGTGTGTGTGATTATCTTTGCAGAATTTGATAACGTGATTGAAATTAATAAATCGAGGAACATCATTTTTGACTTTAACTGATGGATGGTCGTATTATACAAGACATTTTATCTCGTGAAGCAGCAGCTGTCTTTCGAGGAGTTTATCCAGCAGATAAAATACCTCCCTTAATTAGAAGATCAGCCATCGTTGTGAATACAGACAAGTCCACAGAACCTGGAGCGCATTGGGTAGCCTTTTTTCAAGATGAAGAATTAGAAATTTTTTGATTCTTATGGACAATCTCCAGATGTTTATGGATTTCACTGTTCAAATGTAAAATGGAATAATATTCTATTACAGAGTGTAACTTCTAATGTATGTGGAGCATACTGTATTTATTATGTATTGAAACGAAGCCAATCTATGTTTGCTATTATTGAAAATTTATGTAAAATGAGTGATTTTAACCTGTATTAATTTGTGAAAAAAACTTATGGTGTAAGAATGATTTTTTAACAATAAAATATTTGAAATGTATTTTTTCTTTTGTGTTTTATTTTTCTGACTGAATAAATTTTTTCAACTTATATAAAAGCATATTGAGTTTTTTAATATAATGACAACGAAACGTTTTCATATGAAGAAACACAAATAACACTTTTCGACCTAAAAAAATAAAGTGGAGATTTTTTCGACCTAAAAAAATATCTAAATGAATTTTTTTCGACTTTTCAAAATCAAAGTGTAAATTTTCCCCTTACATTTTGAATTTAACATGGGTTTTCCCATAGGCAAAATAAAAGTGGAGATTTTTCTCCCTAAAAAAATTAAAGTGAAATTCTTTCGACCTAAAAAAATCTAAATGAATTTTTTTTCGACTTTATAAAAACAAAGTGTAACTTTTTCCCTTACATTTTAAAATTAACATGAGTTTTCCCATAGACAAAATAAAAGTGGAGATTTTTCTCCCTAAAAAAATTAAAGTGAAATTTTTTCGACCTAAAAAAATCTAAATGAATTTTTTTCGACTTTTTAAAATCAAAGTGTAACTTTTTCCCCCTTACATTTTAAAATTAACATGAGTTTTCCCATAGACAAAATAAAAGTGGAGATTTTTCTCCCTAAAAAAATTAAAGTGAAAATTTTTTCGACCTAAAAAAAATCTAAATGAATTTTTTTCGACTTAAAAAAACTGAAATTTTTCATCTTAAAAACTGTAAATAAAACTTTTTCCGTCTTAGAAAAAACATTTTTATCTTTTTTTTCTCTTTCATAATTATTTTTAATTTCGGAAAAGTATCTTTTTCCTAAGAACACAATAAAGACACATATATCAAGTTAACATTGTTTTATTTAATATCTAATCCATACATTTCTTCGAACATACATGACATTTAATTTGTTATAAACATCATACATAGTAAGTAAACCTAATTCTTTTAACACAGCATAAAATTCATTTTGTCCAACAACTGGTTTTTTCTTATTTCTTAAAAAATGATTGATGAGTGTCACAACATGAGTCCCTGGAACGACTTGATCCCGATAAATGAGTTCACCTCCATCTGAAATATGTTTCTTTCACATGATGATAAATGTCTTTTGCTTGAGACTTGTATTTTAAAGGAGCCACATTCACAACTTTTTTCTCAAATGGATCTTCCGTAGGAATTTCTTCTTTCTTCACCAAAGTGTCTTCTTTCTTTTCCATAGGTTTCTCTGTTTTTTCAACGGGTGGTGGTAATTGATAGGTAATATTTCTGGAGTACTTGCAGATACAAAGCTGCTTTTTCACTTTCATCAAGGTCTTTTTTCTTTAAAATTCGATCCATTTTCTCATCCAGTTCGGTAAGATGTTCCACCGTTTGTCGTCTTTCTTCTGGTACGATGAGAAGTTTTTTACTGAACTCCATGAATAAGAGAACTAATGACAGAAATAGCCGCAGGTAAGAGAACACTTAGAAAACCTTCCCCTTTTTGTACAAGCAGTCTTCTTTTCTTATAAAGAGGTACTTTTTTATTGGCGAGTTTTCGTAAACTTCGTTTATAAGGCGCTAATTGAGCCTTTCGCTTGGGGGAAACGGCAAGATGACCTCGAAGCAAGTTTAAGGCACACTCACACACAGTTTTTATGACACTATTGGGGCACTTGCGAAGCAAATCACTTGAAAATTTACTTTTCGAGATGAGTTTCAGTTGCTCTAATTGGTGCTGCGAACAGTTCGACATTTTATACACGAATGACAGGAAAGAAAAAAGTGTTGGGCTTTTATAGAGTCTCTACGAAGCGTGCATAAGCGGCGGCTTTTTGAACAGCACAGTGTGAAAAGTTCTTCACATGCAAATAAGGGCAGACTATTTCTCTTGGAGGTAAGTCACAAAAACGGAGACAGTTTACATCATCCAAATTAATCACTTCTTTTCTGGTATGATTTTGAAAAAATTTCTTTTTTTCCAGACCTTTGACATATATTTTTTTAAATGAACGAAACAGCATCTGAAGGACTAAATTTAAATCTGTATATGACATTTCTCCACATGTCCAGTCCATATTATGTATATTCCGAGATACCCACGAAAACGTGAGTTGTGTTTTCTTGCTGAAATCTTCAAAGGAACATGGGGGTTGAAAAGTCCACATATCAGGAATGGGAACCTTGGGTCCCCTACCGCAAAAGCTGCAAGTTCTTTAATAACAAACTGTCTTGAAGAATATTGGAAGCCTTCAAAGTCGATCACCACAGACATCTTCACTCGTTCACAGCTCACCAGCAAATGACTAGCGAGGCTGATAGATGTAGTATTTTTCGTTTGGAAAAAGCCCCGTTCTCAGAAGCATGGCGTCAGATGTTTCAGGTTTGAGATCAACCAGTAAATAACTGTAAGGTTTAGATGTAGCATCCTGATACACTTCTTGAAAAAACTTGTTCTTTCCTGGATATAACTGCCTTCCCAGATGCATAATTTGAGACTTGTCTCTTGTATTTTTAAAGAGCACTAAATAATTAGCATTCAAAGACATTTCCCGAATACCTTTATGAAACAAATTTTGTACAATGAAAATAACACTAAGATTTCGATGATGAGATCCTTTGGTAAATAACTTAGTCAATCTTATATCATTTCCGAGTTCCGACATAAGATCATCAATAATAATCACAGAATTTGATAAAGTGTGGATGTTTTCAGGCAAACCATCACAAAATTCAATATGATTCATCTCATCGTAAAGACTTTGATAAGCACCATAGCACCAAATAATTTTAGGAGGAAAAGGAGTGATCATTTGGTGGTCCATTAATTTTTTAATAAACATGGTTTTTCCGCTACCACTAGGACCAGCAGCTAACATCGTGAAAGGATGCTTTAATTTCAACAGTTCCATCTTAACTAAATTCTTATTCGAAAAACAATTCTATTTATAGCTGTTCCACTAGATTTTTATTTTTTTCTAACTTTCCATTTTTTGATAAAACTAAAATTAATTTTTCTAACTTGCCAGATTAATTATTGTAACTTGATTAAAATATTCTAACGTGTTAAACATTTTCTTAAAAAGATTAAGAGAACTCTCTCTTTACTGAAGACTTAGTTTTTTAAAGTACAAAACAAGAAATAATATATTTAAATAAACATTTATTAAAGTTTGAAGACATATCATTACACTTATTTACATCATAAATTTCCACAATAAAATACTTTTAGAATTTTGATTGAATGTACAGAGAATTTTGAGATAAAATTATTCAAACTAAAAATTATATGGCATAATGTCCGTATGCATAGGACGATATCCCATCGTCTAAAAGATACCGTTTCGTATCGAAAGGACACAAAGTAGCTTTCGTGTAGGCCACAGTCTTTATCTGATGACTGTGGCTAGCAATACGTTGCGCATGGCGCAAGGCCGCGTTGTTGTTGTAAAAGACAGTTAACGTAGTCCACATGACGAATCTGTCTTTTAAGGAATGGTTTTCGATACGCCCTTAGCAGTTTTTTTCTCAGTAGAGTTACTCAGTAGGCTGTACATTTTTGGCTTGAGTCCAACAAATGCTTGGGCAATTTTTCCAGATAGTTAATCTTTCATTTTACTAATCACCTTTTTATTGGTAAGGCTGTAGAGGGGATGATTTTCTGGGTAATTTGAGGTATCAAATAAGTTGAAATTGTTGCCCATGTCTTGGTAAATATCAGTTTCTATTTCGTAACAAAGACTGTCGGTGTCTGTGAATAATAAACGGGCCTTTAATCCGTATGATTTCTTGATATATCCGTAGTGAAATTGATACATTAACGTTTTTCATAAGTTCAAGATGCTGAAGCCTACATAGATAGGACGATTCAGAACCAAGCTGGTTTTTCGTCGCTCAATGGCTGCCAGATCGTCTGTGATGATCTTGAAGGAATGAAATGTTGGAGCAGCGACTAACTTCTTGGCTCGTTTCTCTCGATGAACCAGATCAATGCAGGTACGTTTTCTGAGATTTTCCATCGTCTTTCCGAAAACTGAATTGTTTAAGAGTTTAAATAAATCTTTTTCGAATGAAGATTTAGCCAGTTTACGTTGCCTAGTGTTGAATTCAATGTATTTCGCAAGCCAAGGAGATTGTTTGAACGTCAGCACTCGATGGATCTTGGTCACGTGAAGCCCCAGTGAAACATACTGCTTCAGATTTCGGTAATGTATCACGTACCGATGCTTAGGTCGTAGATTTGGCACCAGTTTGATAGAACTGCTCGATGGGATTTGGAATTTGATTGCCAGGTCTCGAGTGTAAGGTGACCACATATCAGGAGTCACGACGACTTGTTCGGGAGCAAGAGGATAGTCCGAATGGTCATCGTGAAGTTCCCTTGGATACTCCAGATCAACTTCAAGGATACATCCTTCTTCCGCATCGTCAGCCAACTCCATGAAGTTAAGAGGTCCGTCATGCCACCGGAAGTCATGGGTTGGTAAAGCTTGGCTCATGGCCCATCTAAAAAGACAGAATAAAAATAATGAATATCAGAAGTAAATAATAGAGAAAATATTATATCTAAACATTTGGAAAGGATACTTACCCGTAAAGGTTATTGGCAGCCAAATACATAATATAAGATGATGGCTTCGTTGGGTCATAATTTTCCATATATTTATTATTGACTTGGCTGAAGCGATGTGAAATCATAGCGATGCCACCTCGAATGCCCTTTTCTATAAAGAGGTACATATCAGGATCAGAGAGTAACTCCAGCGTAGAGAAGCTTGCCAAGCCAGACCAGGTGCTGTGTAAACATGTGCCGGATCCACTTTGTAAAAATCAAGGCACAGTTGTCTAAAGCTTTGAAAAATATCCACCAGAAGCAAAACATCACTTTTTACATAGAGGTCGTGGTAGTCTCCTAGATGATGTAATCCGAATTCTTCCCAGACTCTATTCGCATGTTGATAATCCTCATCGCTGATATTACTCTCTGTTAGGTGAATGGGGGTAGAGAAGGACAGACCATCTATATGGATTTCTCCTTCATAGGGCCTATAGTGTGAAACTCTGTATGAATGATCTTGACGATCTTCAACGGGATGAAGGGCCGCCAAGACCCTCCACACCAGACATTTGTGGTCCTCATTTTGGATATTGAGAACTGCCTTCTTACAGGCTAAGGCTTTCGGTAGAGTAATTTAAGAAGAGGCCGCCAGGGGTTTGTAGACAGCGGTCTTGAGCTTGAGGTATTGCACGGAGTCTAAAACACATCCTGAACCTTTTCTTATAAACTTTTCTAGAGAATCCAGCACCTATAAAAATAAAATATTTCATGAGTGACACTAATTCTTATGTTGCACACTGTATACATAATTCATATAAAATAAATCTCCTTACCTTCTCAATAGCTGTTTGCATATCAGGCATTTCTCCCGTGAGAGTGGTGCTGCATCTGGACCGAAAATAAGGGGTGCATGTCTCCTCCTCGATCTCTGAAACTTTTCTGACCTTCTTCACACAAGCATTCAAGTACCTTGGTATTGTGCGGCAGCTTGTTCAATCTTGCCTGCGACTTCAGGTTCTTGAAAATTCTAAAAATACTTGTCAGTCATTCTTGGTGTCTTCACTGGGATAAAAGACCTTTGTATCAAACGTACCAAGGCAGGGTGGGCGTTCTTGTCGTGGTCGTTTAGAAGCAGGCATGGTGGTGGGGGAAGCTGCTCGTTTCACTGAGCGAGATGGCATGGATTTCTGGGGTTCTGAATGCATTTTCATATGTCTCATTAAACTATCCCTGCGAGAAAACTCCTTCTTGCAGATAACACAAATATTTTTGGCAGTTGAATGTTGTACATTGATATGCCTTGTCAAGCTTCTTTCGTGTGCGAAGGTTTTATTGCACTCCAGGCAAGTTAAATTTGGGGTGTCAACAAAAGGCGAATCCAGCTGGGATGCTGTAAGGTCACCAAAATCCATATCAATCGTTTGATCGTCCAAAGGCATGTCTTCATGTTCAAAAACATATTCAGCATCCATCTAAAAATATAAGAGTACAAAATTAAGTATTATAACTCAAAAATTCTCAAACATACAATTTAAAAAAAAAAAAGAAAAATACCTACGTTGGTTTGTGGTTGAGCAGCCTCGTTATTTAAAAGCATAGCCTCAGATGTATGTTCCATCTGAAAAAAACAAAGAAAAAATTCAACTGTTTATGAAAAAAAAATATTAAGCAAATAAATATGACTAATTAGAATAGTAATATTAGCTTAAAATAAACTTACTTATAAAAGTAAAACGAAAATAAACTAATTAAAAATATATGGCAGCGTTAAACAAAAGAATGCAAAGGGCAAATCATCAATTTTATAAATGTATATTTACATGGAAACACGAAGTATTGTTAATTTAATTAAAAGAATTGCATTAGAAAAAGGAAAGTATGCTGTACATAATTTAAGAAATGCGCGATTGGGTAATATTCACATTAAAACATAAGAGTATCGTTAAAAAATATATAACGAAAAGAATTTACATTAGGTATCATATTTTGCCAGAAACTCAATAAATGTAATCTATAAATAATAGCGAAAAAAATATTGAATAAAATTAAAAAAAAAAGGTGTGGAAAATGAACGACTTACGTTAAAACGAAATGGGTTCAACTAAAATAATCACAAGTAAAAATCTGAAAGAAAAATAAAAGAGAAATTTATAAAAACTATTTATGATATCTAATAAAAATAAACTAAATATTAACAGTTATTGAAAATAAACTAAATATTATTATCTAATAAAAATAAATAGATATTAACATCTACTAAAGATAGACTAAATATTAACATAGAATCTATTAATACAAACGAGAAAAAGATATACGATAAAATACTTACTTCGAACAACACATCTTGGTTCAAACAGGAAGGGTGGAAGCAGGAGCGAAGCATACAGCACGAACAGAAATAATGAAAAAGGGTCCAGCACGTCTTTATATCGGCCTTGGTCAGGATCCAGGAGAACCAATTAGAAAGCGCTATGTGTAAGACTACTACCCTCTAGCGGCCATTGCTGAACTAAATAGAATGTTCTAGAAGTTCTAACATGTATCTGCACGTTGCAATCAGGTTGTGGATTTAGTATGACATCAGTGCAGCAGAGAGTTCTGCGTTGATTGATAAGCGCGGACATGAAACCGGATTACACACAAACAGGATAAAACTTGCGGCTGACGTAGCAATAGCAAGATGGTGATAATGCGTGATGACGTCACGAACAGGATGAAACGCTTCCGGGGTTAAGCCGCGTGGTTGATGACGTAGCAACCCCGCGTGCTCCTCCGCAAATACCCCCCTTGTACCCCCCACAGTCCTAGCGCCACAGTGCCACATGGCGCAGAACCCGTATATTCTATCTACTAACGTGCATCTTCGATTTTTATTCCACCACTTAGCGAAGCTCCACAGTCTTTCTATATTTTATATATGAGCAGCTGTTATTAGATCAAGAAAATGAAATTTATTGTCTACAGAAAAATATCTGAAAGCTGGTATTTACCAGTTCTTGTCTTTATTCTCACCAGAAGTTTGAATAAATTGTCACTCCCTCTTGTAGATGGTCAACAACTTTTGGCATGAATGTGGATGGCTCTCTATTTAGAAACTGAGTGAGAAAGAATTTTTCAGTTTTTTGGCATAACTTGTCATTTATACAGCGTTATGGAAGAATCATTCCAGTTTTGGTTTTTTGCTGTATGAACGGATTTTCTGCTATGTTCAAAATTTTTTCAGGGCCACCTATTCACATATTTGGTTGGTGGATCATATGCAGAGAATACATCTCTCTCGTAAAAATGTTTCAGTGAATAGTCACATTTTTGTAGTGTTTCTTTCACTTTACGCTGTTACAAACAGTATTCTGAAACCACTAAACCAGCTGTTAAAACATGTACTTTTCTTTCATTAGCAAATTTTCAAGCTGCACCTCTAAATGCTTTCACTGATGTGAAATTTTATTGAATGTCCATTTTTGCATATTCGAATGTGATGTAAAATATGTGCATTTCTTGAAAGAAAGATATAGCAAGAATCTTCCTCACTTCTCAGTAAATTAAGAATTTTACGATTAAAATATAAATAAAATTCATTAACATATAGAATACTGAGAGCTCTTCTTGTGATGAGAGAATTCTGAGTGATTATGAATTATTAACATTTGCATGGGAAGAAATATGATCACATGGTCTCCTCGAAGCTTTTCTCATTATAAGTAAACTGTAAATCATCATTGTTGGGGCTGCCAGATGTTTCAGAATAGTTCACATTGTCGATTCATCAAAAATCTTGACAACTTTAAAAAACAGGATCCATAATAATAAGGAAGAAAGAATATCACATCCTTACGAAAGCTTGGTTTAATTTATTTGATTATAGCACATAAGGGCTATCAACCTAAAACGATGGATGTCTCTGTGAAGGACTTTCTGAGGAAAACTGGCTCGTATCTACACTAGAAAAGCCTAGAGTCCATCTTTGAAGTCATTTTTAAGCCTTAAATTGATATTAGCTTACTATGAAAATACCTTGGCAGCTTCACAATGGCTCATTCATATTAAAATTTGAGGGTATTTCACAGGATAAAATTTGTTATTTAAATTTAGTGTGGGTGCAATATATTTTTCAAAACTATTCAGAACAAACTTATATACACATTAAAAATTCTGAACATGCAAAAATTTAAAAATTCTTCCAGTAGATCTTTTGTTTAAATATATTACATGATAGTTTTTCCATCCAAAGATTATGTAAATAATTTATATCTAAACAGATTCCTTTCAGATATACAATAAAATAATACAAGTTGTCACATTTATTACAAAATGTTCTTAATTTTAAATTAATTCATTATTCATTTGAATAATATATAGAGAAACAAATATTAATTTTTTTCCCTAATACAATGATGAAATGAAAGCACAAAACATTAATTATTAGATGAAATGGGATAAGGTTCGGAGAACAGCCTTGGTTGCGCAACTTGGCTCCATGGGCGACATTTCATTATGCCAACGGAAGTAAATATCATGTGGGGTCTAGGGAGAAAAGGAAAATACACGGGGAAAAACGGGATTAAGATGTGTTTATATTTGTTTGGTATCTGATTGCTAATTTGTTTCTGTTATGTTGCTAAATTAGCATTAAAAGTCGAGTAATGTGCGTCTATTGCGAAAACGCAGGGCAATTACTTTTCGATGCGATTTTATATATGTATTAATATATCACATTCCTACTGATATGATCTACATATGTAATTCTCCTTCCACAGCATAAAATCATTAAACACACAGAATTCTCTCTCTCTCTGTGTTCTTTATCAATGGTTATTTCATGTTCCATTTGCAAATGTAATAAAAAGTTTATGTTTGGGAAAAATTCATTACATAATGGACATTTATATAATTTTTTTATGGTGAACACTCAAGGGCAGTGAATGCACTATCTGTAGCATCTGATTTCGAGAATATCAGTACTCTTATACCCGAGAACCTCTGTGAACGAGAGTAGAGTAGAATGTAATGTAACTGCGTAAATAGCGCATCACTGCTGCCTTATTAGTTAGTTAGAAATAAATGTTTGTGCCGTGAACTATTCTGTTTTGGTTCGTCATGCATTTCACTGAACCCACACCGCTAGACACAGCAAGTTGGCGACGAGGCTAGCAAATCGTTCCCGACTCGGCGCACTCGGTTACATGCGTAAAAGTAGTGGTAAAACCGAAACTTGGATTTAGGGAATTCCCCGAAAACTGCAAAAGGTAAGAAAGTTATTTGATTTTTATTTTGAAAGGATGGAGAAGTTAATTGAAGAATTGATAAAGCAGAATGAAGCTTTAATGGTCGCATTGCAAGAGAAATCGGAACATAAACAAGACAAAATTTCTGTTTCTTTTGATAAGTTCGATGAAACGGTAGAAAATTTTGATTCGTTCATAGAACGATTTGAGGCTTTTTTGGACATTCAAAATGTTCCAGAGGCAAAACGTGGGAAAGTTCTGATCTCAAGCTTGAATGCGAAATTGTATAATTTGTTGAAAAATTTACTCTCTCCGGATAATCCTTCAGATAAAAATTTTACCGAACTAAAAAAGGTTCTTAAGGATCATTTAAATCCTAAAGCTTTAATAATACCTAGTCGGCACATGTTTTATTAATAGAAAACAGCATGAGGGGGAATCAATTAGTAGTTATGTCACTGAATTACGCTCGTTAGCGATTCCTTGTGAATATAAAGAGGATATGCTAAATACAATGTTAAGGGATGTTTTCGTTAGCGGTCTACGAGATCGTAATATCTTAGATCGATTATTTCAGGAAGATGATATCGATTTAGAGAAAACATTAAAGATAGCCTTGGCGATGGAAAAGGCGGTTAAGGGTGCAAATGAGATTATAGGAAATTTCGTAGAACTGAAGGTACTTAAAACCAAGAAAAATGAGTCCAAACCGCGGAAACAAAACTTTGTTGCTAAGAATAATAAAGGTAAAAATGAAACTTGTTCGCGTTGCTTAGGAGCAAATCACAATAAAAACAACTGTAGATTTGCAACAAGTGAATGCCGCTTTTGTAAAAAAATTGGACATATCGAAAAGGCGTGTTATTTGTCTAGGAAAAACCGACAGGTTAAACAAAAGAAAGTTGAGGCAAATAATGATTATGATTCGAAAAATGAGGTCCCCATCTATGGATTTAACTCCAGAACGCACATGTTAAGAGAGGAAGAGCCAAAAAGACCGCCAATAATGGTTCAAGTTAAAATTGAAAACAAACCAGTTAGCATGGAACTTGATACTGGGGGAACAGTTTCGGTAATGTCTATAAATAAATTTAGAAAAATTTCCAATAAAAAGATTCAGCCTACAAATTTAGTTTTTAAAACTTACAGGGGTGATAAGGTGGTACCTTTAGGATATGTTCCTGTTAAAGTTGAATACCAAGGTCAAAAATTAGTTTTAAATTTATACATTGTGAAGGAAAATTTGGACACAATCTTCGGCCGAGAATGGCTGTATAAAATCAATCTCGATTGGAATGCCATCAAAACATTGAAAACTTCTAGTGAATTGAATTTAAAAAAATTGCTTGAGGAGTATAAGGAAATTTTTGACGGTAAATTAGGTGAAATTAACAATCACGAAGTAAAACTAAATTTGAAACCTAATACTCAACCAATATTTTGTAGGTCACGACCGGTACCTTTCGCATTAAAAAATAGAGTTGAATCAGAAATTGATCGGCTTGAGAAAGAAGGTATCATTGAGAGGGTTGAGACTTCAGAATGGGCAACACCAGTTGTGCCAATTGTTAAATCTGATGGTTCCATTAGGCTTTGTGCTGATTATTCTGTGACTCTGAATCCTAATTTGGAAGTGCCACAGCATCCATTACCAAAACTCGAAGAAATATTTTCATGCCTTAATGGAGGTAAAAATTTTTCGAAACTTGATTTCAGTCATGCTTATCTACAAATGAAGGTGCATCCGGAGAGCCAACGGATTATTAACAATAAACACGCATAAGGGGTTGTATATTTGTAAACGCTTAATGTATGGATTAAATGCTGCCCCAGCTATTTGGCAGCGCTATGTTGAGGGATTATTTCAGGGGATCGAAGGAATTAAAATTTTTATGGATGATGCTCGAGTGACAGGACCGGATGATCAGTCTCATTTAAAAGCATTGGAAATATTTTTTCAAAAAATGCAAGGAGCACGGCCTAAAATTAAACTTAACTAAAAGTAAATTTTTTCAAAATGAGATTAAATTTTTAGGGCATAAAATTGATGCCGATGGATTGCATAAAACGGATGAAAAGATTTCGGCAATTGCTAATGCCCTACGCCGAAAGGCGTCCAAGACATCAAAAGCTTTTTGGGATTAGTGAATTTTTATGCCAAATTTTGCCCTAATTCTGGCAACTTTGGCACATCCCTTAAATAATTTAACAAAAAAAGATGTTAAATGGAGTTGGTCAAAAAACTGCCAAATCGCTTTTGAAAAAATAAAAAAGGAAATTTGTTCAGACAGAGTTTTAATGCATTACGATCCCACATTACCGTTAATGCTAGCTACTGATGCATCTCCGGTAGGTCTTGGGGCAGTGCTCTCGCATGTTTTGTCTGATGGAACAGAAAGGCCTATAGCATTCGCATCGAGGACACTGACTAACACGGAGCAGAAATACGCCCAAATCGATAAAGAAGCACTGTCAATTGTTTGGGCTGTCAAAAAGTTTTATCTATATCTAAAGGGAAGACGCTTTTCTCTGGTGACAGATCATAAACCTTTAGTGGCTATTTTCAAATCGAAAAGAGGACTTCCTATCCTCACAGCCACCCGACTCTTACATTATGCACTGATATTGCAAGCATATCAATTTGATATTGTGTATCGAAATACCAAGGAACACGGTAATGCTGACTGCCTGTCGCGCCTGCCTCTTAAGTCCGAAGATTTAAGCATTAAGGATGATGTTGAAATATTCCAACTCTCCCAAATTGAAACTCTTCCGGTAACAGCTAGGGAGATAGCTCGGGAAACGCGAGCTGATGAAGAATTAAATAGTCTTTATATGAAATTAAAATCTGGAGAAAGTTTGGAAGGTAGGGAAGCCAGAGTACACCTTACAAGATGACTGTATAATGAGTGGTCAGAGGGTAGTTGTTCCGAAAAAACTCCGAGTTAAAATTCTCGAAGAGTTACACCAAGGACATTTAGGAATCGTTAAAATGAAGGCAATCGCCAGATCCTACGTCTTTTGGAAGGGAATTGATCATGATATTGAAGAAGTTTCTAGGAACTGTGTCGATTGTATTAAGTTCAAATCAGATCCAGTAAGGGCAAGGGTCCATCACTGGGAATATCCAAGTGCGCCTTGGGAACGCATTCACGTAGATTTTGCAGGCCCTATTTTTGAACGAATGTTCTTGATTATCATTGACGCACATTCTAAATGGCTAGAAGTGTATACCTTAAAGTCAGCAAATTCCTTTCAGACAATTGAATGTTTGAGAGACTGTTTTGCAAGATACGGACTGCCTTTAGTAGTAGTGAGTGACAATGGTCCTCAGTTCACATCGGGGGAATTTGAAACTTTTATAAGGAATAATGGAATTAAACACAAAACGTGTGTGTGCTCCATTGGCCTTACGGTCCCTCAGCCCGTGTGCGGGACCTAGCAAACCTAAAACCCTAAAGAACCTTACGTTGTACGGGTACCCATAGGCCGAATACCCGTAAAAACCCATAGAAAGAAACCTGCATGGCTGTATAGGTAGGTACCTGTAGGCGAAATACCCATAAAAAACCTGTAAACGGAAACCCGTACGACTGTACGGTTACGAGTAGGCCAAATCTCTGTAGAACTGTAGGCACTATAAACAAAATCCCAGTAAAAACCCATAGCCAAAAATCAAAACTTTATATGCATATCCATTGGCCAAATTTCCATTAAAAAAATGGATATTCCGCAGGTCTATGCCTTGTAAAAACCAGTAAACAAAAGCATGTACACCTATACAGGCACCCATACGCCAAATCCTGCAAAAAC